CAACAGACACATGAAAAAATGATCAGGATCACTAGCAATCAGGGAAATGCAAATCAAAACTACAATGAGGTTTCACTTCACCCCAGTTAGAATGGCTTTCATACAGAAATCAAGAAACAACAAATGCTGGTGATGATGTGGGGAAAAGGTACCCTAATCCACTGTTGGTAGGAATGTATATTGGTGAGGCCATTGTAGAAGACAGTATAGAGATACCTCGGAAATCTGCAAATAGATCTACCATCTGACCTAGCAACCCCTCTCCTGAGAATTTACCCAAGGGAAATGAAATCAGCATATGAAAGCGTTATATGTACCCCCATGTTCATTGTAGCTCAATTCACAATAGCTAAGCCATGGAATCAACCTAAATGCCTGTCAATAAAGAAATTATTGGATATGTACATTATGGAATACTACATAGCAGTAATAAAAAATGAAATCCAGTCATTTGCAATAAAACAGATGAATCTGGAAAACATACTTAGTGAAATAAGCCAGTCCCCAATGAACTAATACCATATGTTCTCCGTGATCTGTGAGAACTAACATAGCACCTAAAATGAAATCTGTAGAAATGAAATTGACACTTCGAGAAGCAATGACTTTAACAGCTCTTGTCTTGACAGTCAAGGAATAGTTTTTCTTTTCCTTCATACTATTTGTTGATGTCTTACTTTATAGTTAATCATATGTGTATAAAGTCAATTGAAAATATATCTCAGTAAAATATAAGAGTGGGAATAAGAGAAGGAGGAGGAAGTTTGTAACTGTAAAGCTCTATAGTTCTGCATGCATTCCCACGGACTGACTTCTAAGGGTCCAGTTTAAAAACTTGCCATGGGACCCCAAATCCCATTAAGCTGAGTGACAAAAATGCCATCTTAAGTGTTAAAGTGAACATATAGATAGTATTAAGTGTTAAAGGGATCCTATAAATAAGATCAAGTGTCTGGTAACAATAATAGATAGAATTAAAAAGGAGAGAATGTTCCAACATAGGAAGCAGTCCAAAGAGCACTCATAAAATAACAAGTGCTTTAAGTAGCACTCTGACCTCAGAATCAACCCTTAAGACATCCTGGTCTGGCTGAAAAGCCCATGAGAGCATTTCAGGCATGGAAAGCCAAAACATTGTGGCAAAAACTGTTCTACATAAAGGATGTGAGTGAAACCCCAGTGGAAAGTAGTGGTCATCAAAGAAGGATGTACTTTTATCTTAAGGGAGGAGAGAACTTCTACTTTGCTTATGGCCTTGTCTAAATACCGATGGAGTTTGTGGATTCAAAAGGCTTCCAAAGCTTAGGCAGCACATGTCAAGAGCCTTAGGCTGTCACTGACATCATACTAAGAGTGTTAATTGTTAAATTAAATTAACAACAGGATTCACTGCTCACTAATTTCCCATGCAGGAACTCTGTCCTCAATTAATTATATTATGAGAGTTAACTGTAAAAGTTGTTCTCAGTTTGTGTGTGTTCAAATTATTGAAATCTTTACTTAGTATACTGTTGGTCTTCTGTGTATAGTTAGTTGAAAATGAATCTTAATGGAGAATGGGACTGGGAATGGGAGAGGGAAGAGAAAGATGGGTAGGAATGTGGGTGGGGGGATTATGATGGGAAGAATCACTATATTCCTAAATTTCTACTTATGTGTATTCCTTAAATAAAAGGGTTTTTTTCTGGGGGGGGGGGGGAGATGATGCAATTAAAGTAAAGGAACAGTGAGGTAGCTTTGTACTTCAGTCTACTTTAGTTCCAGAATTGTAAGCCTGAAACACCTTTTCATAGAGGATACTGCTGATGAGCCCATGCAGCTGGAATGGTAAGGAACACCCTGAGAAAAGGCACAGGGCCCCATGGGGGTGAAGGATGACAGGCAGTCTTCATTTGGAGGAAGGATGGAGAAAGAAGGAAAGGAGGATGGGAAGGAGGGGGTGAGGAAGGTAGACAAAGGTGTAAGAGAGGAGCCTTTTATGAACTGTACTGGGTATTGGGTACTTCAGACAAGTCAGGCAATTCAATCTCCAGGACAACCTTGGCATGTGTATTAGTCTACTTTCTGCTGCTGCAATATAATACCCAAGACCAGGTAATCTGTGAGGAATGGAGGGTTATTTGGCATGAGGTCTGGAGTCTGGGAAGTCCTAGTGCTTTGGGAAGCCTTATGCTGCACCATGACATGAGAGGCATCCCACAGAGGGACGGAGCCAACTACCAGCTCAGGTCTCTCATCCTCTCCTTACAAAGTCCTGAATTCCATCATGTGGCACCCACCCTTGTGACTTTGTTTAACCCCTGCCACCTTCCAAAGGCCCCATTTCCAAACACCATCAACAAATGGCTTTGGGAACTAAGTTTCCACAGGTGAACTCTGGAGGACATGCTCTGTAGTGGAATTAGAATGCCATGCCAAGATGGCTGCTGGCAACGGAAACTGCCTGGCAACAGGCTGTGATTAGATGGCTTCGGAAACCAAATGACAATGGGGCCTGCCTGCCTACAGGCTGTGATTGGATGGCTTCAGAAACCACATGGCAACAGAGCCTGCCTGGCAACAGGCTGTGATTGGATGGCTTCAGAAACTGCCTGGCAACGGGCTGTGATTGGTTAGGGCATAGACCGCCCCCAGACCAGATTGGCTGTCTTGGCTATATGAGCTGCTGTAGCAACTGAAATAAAGGAGTCTGCAGACTGCTCCCTCTGGCCTGCTTTCACCTGACTCCCAGGGTCTGTGTGGTGACTCCATGCCTCTTGCCCCCACCACGCTCCTCCTCTCAGAAACAAATCCACTGCAACATCTGGCATGCCAATGTGACAGAGAGAGACAGCATGTCGGACTCAGTGAGGTCCCCCCTTGATTTCGGCAAGAAGGCCCCTCGGGGTTTTGTGTGTTGTTCGGTTCGGTTCTGTGAGGGTGAGCACAGAACGCCCTCCTACACCCCTTTCCTTGTCCTTGTCCTCAGTCTAAGTGACCCCAGGTGTCGCTCCCCGTCTTCGTGGAGGAACGACACAGGACCCTGCACTGTTCTTTTGTCTGCTCGGCCCTCCCCGGGTTTGCTGCTGGTTCTTCCCGGGTTGGCTACTGTCCCTTCCACCTCCGTGGAAGGGCGGTTCCCCCTGGCCACTTTCCCCACTTCCGCAGGGGAGCGGCACACTGCCGGCCGGCTCTCTCGGGGGCTGCACAGGTGTTCCTTCAGATAGATGTTCCCCTTAGATGTTCCTGGTGCATGTTGTCTCTCTCCTCCTTTATAGTCCTCTTCCACCAATCCCAACTCTGCTACCCACACGCCGAGTACGCTGCTCTCCTCCAATCAGGAGCAGGATCAGCTCCTGGAGGTCATCACTCAAGTTGGCAAGAGGCAGCTGCGTAGAAGCTGTTTTCTCTCCCAGCACCATATTGTGGGAGGGCAGATGCATAGAATAAGTCTTAATTCCAGTAACTTAGTCTAGTCCGGGTTGCTCCCCACACCCAGGTTAGGCACACATGCCCAGAAGTGTAACGCTGCTTCTTCGGTGCCCCGCGGCACACACTCTGCTCTGCTTGCTAGAGTTGCCCACAGGTGCTTACAAGCCCTATCAATCAGGCAAACCGAATCCGGGTCCTCTCTTCGCCATGTTGTGAGGAGGTTTTTAGGCGCTGATGCGTGCATGAATCAAGGAAGTCCCCCACTAAGCACAGGACATACATATGATCTGATACACCACTGTCTGTTCGTCTAACATAGGAAACCCCTGCATAATACCATCAGCCGCTGAGGTGCTAGGAATTTGTTTTGTTATGGCAGCAGTGCTGTGCGTGTCTTTCCTTTGGCTAGAGTTGGCATGGCATGATGCTCTTAAACACTCAAACATGGGAAAGATACCCCCCTCTCAGAAACCCACACGGATTACCAAACATAATGAATCTATGAGTTCTAAGTGCCTTTCACTCCAAAGGCCTCTGCCTCACTGGCAGCAGTTGACATGACAGCAGGCCAACGTAGCAATGCCTAGTCAGCCACCCCCCAAATACCCATGGGATGAATTTAGAAGACCTCGAGGCAATAACCCATGTGAGGTCATCCAATCCGCACCCAGTGAGGATCCTCACATTTGTGGCAGTCCCCAGGCACCCCAGGCTCTCAGGGCAGCTGCTAGACCCCATCCTACCCATATGTTTGCCATTAATGTAGGAGTGGACACAGAATTAAGGCCCTGGATTCCAATGCCCATAAATGACCTTACTATGCTAAAAAAAAGGCTTCTCAAGAGTCAGGCCCTGACTCTCCCTACTTTGAACAGGTGCTCACACAATGTGCAGTGAACCTTCAAACTCATTTTGACTGGGTTACACTGCTCAAAGCATGTTTGTCAAGACCACAGTTCTTATAATGGAAAGCCTCCTATGAGGAAGAGGCTGAAACTGTGGCAAGTAATAATGTTGCCTATGGAATTGCAGTAAATTTTGATATGCTAACAGGCTGCGGCACCTACATATATCCTCGTGAACAGGCCCACATTGGAGTAGTTTCCTATTTTGATCAGGTCAGTTAGAGCCTTAAAAAATATAAATCCTCCTAATTATAGTCAGCTCCTTAGAAACCTAGTTCAAGGCCCAGGCGAATGGTTCCCTGATTTCCTTGCCAGAGTCTTGGGGGCAGTCTTGGCCCTAATCAAGGCAATCTGGTTAAGAGGAGGTCTATGCCCTAACCAATCACAGCCTGTTGCCAGGCAGTTTCCGAAGCCATTCAATCACAGCCTGTTGCCAGGCAGTTTCTGTTGCCAGCAGCCATCTTGGCATGGCCTTCTCATTCCATTACAATGCTCAAGCTTGGCAGAGGGAAAAAGTACTTCTATCTTTCACAGATGACTCCAAGAAACCCTTAAATCTTCTAAAAACAGTTCAAGGTTCTCACCAACAGCAGTCAACTGATAGCTACAAGCCCACTCCACCCATGACACCATCCTCAGCCACCATCAAAAAGAAGATGGTTTAGAAGCAAAGAAGAGTCTCACCTTGTATAAAACCTCATTGTAGTAATTCTGATGAAGTCTTCCTGCAATACAAAACAGTTTTTATGACACTGCATATGGATAATAAAGCTCCCTAGGTTAAGATCAGCTTCATCATTTTAAATGTAAATTTGAAGAAAGACAAAGTTCAAGATTCTCCATGCACTCCTTCTCCTTTAACAGGTAATGGCCTGAGCTGTCACACTAAGGCATACTCCATCTGTGACTTCCTCCTAGTAAAGCTCGGTCTCAACTTCTCAGAGAAACCAGGGAAATCCCAACAATGTCAGCTCATACATTGCTTCTATTAACCAAAAACAAAAAAAAAGCTCTCCCTATTCTCCACTTTCAATTATGGAAGAAAGACACTCTCCAAGGCTGCACAAGCCTTTGCATGCCTGAGGAGCATACATGGGGACACACAGGGCCACTGCTGCTCACAGAGGATGCCAGCCTCCCAGTGAGAGATGCTGCTGGGTAGACAGCTTCCTGATCCCCATAGTGTCCCTGATCAATGACACAGCCTTTTCTTCTTTGTTGTTGTTGTTTAAAGATTTATTTTCTTATTTGAGAGTCAGAGTTACAGACATAGAGGGAGAGACAGAGAGATCTTCCATCCAATGGTTCACTCCCCAAATGGCTGTAACAGCCAGGGCTGAGCCAGGCCGAAGTCAGGATCCAGAATCTTCATATGGGATTCCCAAATGGGTGGCAGTGGCCTAAGTACCCAGGTCACCTTCTGCTTTTTTTCCCAGGTCATTAGCAAGGAGTTGGATTGGAAGTGGAACAGCCAGCACATGAACCAGCATCCATATGGATAACAGTGTCACAGGAGGCATCATTATCTGTTGTGCCTCAAAACTGGCCCCTCTTTGTTGTTTTTGTTGTTTTTTAAGACCTATTTATTTGAAAGGCAGTGAGAGTGAAAGACTGAAACAGACAGAGAGACAGAGAGAGAGTTAGTGAGTGAGAGAGAGAATATCTTCCATCCACTTGCTCACTGCTCAAATGGTTCCAATGGCAAGTGCTGGGCCAAGTAGAAACCAGGTGCCCAGAGCTCCATCCAGGTCTCTCAGATGGTTGGCAGAAGCCCAAGTACTTGAGCCATCTTCCACAGCTTTCCCAGGAACGTTAGCAGGGATCTGGAAAAGAAGCAGAGCAGCAAGGACTCAAACCCATATGGGATGCCACCGTCACAGGCATGGTTTTAACCTGCTGCACCACAATACTGGCCCCAACACACACAGCGTATTTTCCACAAATACCACCTTCCAGCTCAGATCAACTTTCATCCTCAAGAAGCTACATCTGTGCAAGACAGGAAGACTGGAAGGTTGGATGGAAGGCAGAGGATGGAGGGCAGGAGCTGGAAAATGTCCTTTCCTGGCCATTACAGTCCAGCAAGGATGCACTGAGGCCACCTGTCCTGTGTCACCAATGAACAGGCACAAACATGCTCTAAAGCTGCCCATAAATTTACACAGCAAGAATAAGACCATCAATATCTGGAAAACAAATGGTGAGTCAGGGCTTGCTCACTTCATTTCCGTATGTTAATTCTGAGAAATAGCTCCCAACCTCCCAGGCAGGACTCCTTGCCCTATGGTCTCACAGCCAGTTGAGCCCACCTCTGCCCACAGTGCATACAGAGGTGGGGTGGCAGCAAGTCTGCATCCCTTTTAAATTGTGAGCTCTTTCCAGCCCAAGCTGCCTATCCCTTCATCTTCATAACCTGCCCAGCATACCTCCCAGCATGCAGCAGCCCTTAAAGGTTAGTGTTTGATGAATGAATAAGTCAAACCTATTATTATACTTTCTGTTCTGAGTTTCTCAATGCTGTGGGCATTTAGGTGGGTAGAGAGGGGAGGACAGGGTATTCCACTCATGATCCTGGGAGGGGTTTCATCTTCCAAGTTCTGAGAGCCAACTCTGGGAAGCTGCAAACAAGTACAAGATAGTTAAATCTTGGATATGCTCTTTCACTAACTGCTCCTCAAATCAGCTGTCAATGCCAGAGCCAAATAGGGTGGGAAAAGCTCACAGCTGTCCCAGGATTCCTGGTCAGAAAAGAGATGCAGGAAATCGAGTGAAGCAAGGAGAAACAAAGGAGAAAGGGAGAGAGGGAGGCCTCAGGTTTCAGTCACAGCCTCCAAGGAAGAGCCAGGTAAGCAAATGCCTCCAAAGCATCGTTGACCCACAAAAACAGAACAAGAATCACATTTTAGAAAGCAAAATGAAAGGGGTCAAACTACTTTCAATAGTTTCTTCAAACCACTATCTAAAGAAATACTGTTACTTAACCATGATATCAGTGGAAAAATTTAATGAGATATTTCAATCTTCTTTTTCCTACTAAATAGTGGATGTATCTTCTTATGGAATTATGAGATTTTAAATAGAACTCACATGATGTGTCTAAACTAAAACCAATTATTTTTCTTAAACAAAATTTCTTTCACCTGAATCTTTCATGTTGGTTTTACTTTGCCTGGAGTAAGGGCCTAATTAGAAAGAGAAATAATACATTTCTCTTATTCACAGGCCAGCAGGGTTATCACTCTGAAAATCACCCGTGTTTGCACCTTTTTGAGTTCCAATCACTGAACACATCACGGAGCGAGACCTCTACACGGGATTCACTTCTTTGGCTTTTTTCTCAAGATTAATATATGATGTACTGAAAGAAAATGTAAAAACGAAAACAGATGCATGTCAATTTTCCTCTTCTCTGCTTTTTCATAATACACCTCGGTGACTTGGGGATTTTTTGTTTGTTTTTCCACTTCACCAATTTAACTGCAAGTCTGCTGCCTCTTTGATGACCACTGAGAAGTGTGTCTATTCAGCGAGTGCATTTCCCAGTCTTTCTGGAAGTGCTTAAGTGGGGCTTTTGCACCTGCCATTCCCAGGCTGTCTCTGTGGGCAGGACAGAGTCACCATGATGTCTGGCCCTTGGGAGTTTCATTTATCTTTATTTTCCTCTGAAAGAGTGAGTTCCATACAGCTGTGTCTTTGCCTAATGCAAACAGTTGGAACTTACTGTGCCCCAAACCACTGAAATGCTGAAAACATAACTGAAAATTCAACAGTAATGGACATGATCAAAGAAGATAAAACTCTATTAAGATGAACAAACTTCTACTCTATGGCTCTGAGCTCTATGAAGGCAACCTGCAGACAAGCACTGACTGAGAACGCTGCCCCCATTCCCAGCTAGAAGAAGGCAGAAAGACGTCCTGACCTCCACCCAAGCAGCAGGGTCTCCGCACACTTTGCTTTGAACATAGGTGGCAATCATAAAACACGGTGTCAAGGCCCAGAGTTCTCTGATCAGTGAGGCACACTACGGCCATCCTCCTTTCAGGCTGTCAACTTCATGCCTGGAAAGACTTGGCATTTTCTTTTTAATTAAATGATTCTAGCTGAGAAGACGGGAAGGCGGGACAGTGACCTTCATTTCAGTACTCTGTAAATGGTGCTACAGGAGCAGCTGCTTTGAACTACGTTTAAAGATAGTGCATTGCTTAAGAGACACAAGGTCTGGAAAAATTAAAATAATTTCTAGTATTTCCAACTCTTCTATGTAAGGACAACAAATTTAAGTTTACTTCTCTCTCGGGTCAACAGTAAGGTCACGCCATTCACGGGGCAGACTGTTCTCATTTAGTAATGAGAATTGAGTCAGACAGGGCATCTTAAACTTTGTCTTAATCCATTAGCCATTGTCAGCTTCTCTCAGCAGGAAAATCTACCTTGGTAAAGCAGAAATAAAAATCTATGCAGGTTATGACTCATTATCTGGTCCACACAGTGTGTGCATGAATGTGTGTTTGTTTGTTTGTCTTTGACAGGCAGAGTGGACAGTGAGAGAGACAGAGAGACAGAGAGAAAGGTCTTCCTTTGCTGTTGGTTCACCCTCCAATGGCCGCCGCAGCTGGCACGCTGCAGCCAGTGCACCGCACAGATCCAAAGCCAGGAGCCAAGTGCTTATCCTGGTCTCCCATGCGGGTACAGGGCCCAAGCACTTGGGCCTTCCTCCACTGCACTCCCTGGCCACAGCACAGAGCTGGCCTGGAAGGGGGCAACCGGGACAGAATCCGGCGCCCCGACCGGGACTAGAACCCGGTGTGCCAGCACCGCAAGGCGGAGGATTAGCCTAGTGAGCCACGGTGCCGGCCTTGAATGTGTGTTTTAAAATATGTTTATTTTGGTGCAAAAGTACTGAAATCCATGCATACTTTTGCATGGCTAGCAAATAGTATTATTTGACGAATAAACATTTTGCTTTATATTGGAGACACCAAACAAATGTTGCTGATGTTAATATTTTTAGCTGATATGCCAAAAATTTTACCAAGATAGGCAGACATTCAGCAGTGGTTAAGACAGTGGCTGGGACTCCTGAATTCTGAATTGGAGTACCTGGGTTCACATTCTGGGTCTGCTCCTGACTCCAGCTTCCTGCTGATGCACACTCTTGGAGGCAGTAGGTAATGGCTCAAGTAGTTACATCCCTGCTGCCGACATGGGAAACCCAGATTGAGCTCCAGTTTCCCAGCTTTGGCTTGGCCCAGCCTTGGCTGTTGCAGCCATTTGGACAGTGAACCAGAAGATGGATCCGTCTCTCTGCTATTCAAAAACAAATAAAAACTTATCAAAAACCTCCTACAGTTGATAAGGGAAAAATAATTTTTACCTAGAAATCTTTTATTTAAAGTATACAAATTTCATATACACAAGCTTAGGAACATAATGATTTTTCCCACTTTACCCACCCTCCCACCCACACTCCCACTGTTCTTCCTCCTCCCTTTCCTATTCCCATTCTTATTATTTACTAAGATCCATTTTCAATTAACTATATACACATGACATTAACTTTACAGGAGGCAAAATGTACAACAAATAGAATGAAAAAAAAAAAGAAACTATTCCTCAGCAGCTGAGACAAGGGCTGTTCAAAGTCATCACACCTCAGTGTCAATTTCACTTCTACAGATTACCTTTAGGTACTCTTAGTTATTACAGATCAGGGAGAACATACAGTATTTGTCTTTTTGGAACTGGAGTATTTCACTAAGTATGTTTTTCAGTTGCAACCATTTTGTTGCAAATGACAAGATTTAATTATTTCTTACTGCTTAGTAGTATTCCATGGTGTATATATCTCATAATTTCTTTATTCCATCTTCAATTAATGAACATTTGGGTTGATTCCATATCTTAGCTATTGTGAATAGAGTTGCAATTTACATGGGTGCATACATCACTTTCTCATGCTGATTTCATTTCCTGTGAGTAAATTCCCAGGAGTGGGATGGCTGGGTCACATGGTGGATCTATACTCAGCTTTCTGTGGTATCTCCATAGAGCCTTCCACAGTGGCTTTATCAGTTTACATTCCCACCAACAGTGAACAAGGGTACATTTTCCCCACATTCTCACCAGCATTTGTTTGTTGATTTTTGTACGAAAGCCATATTAACAGGGGTGAGGTGAAACCTACTGTAGCTTTTATTTATTTATTTATTTGTTTATTTATTTATTTATTTGCCAGGCAGAGTTAGACAGTGAGAGAGACAGAGTTATAGACAGTGAGAGAGACAGAAAGAAAGGACTTCCTTCCATTGGTTCACTCCCCTAATGGCCGCTACAGGCCGACACTGCACCAATCCGAAGCCAGGAGCCAGGTACTTCCTCCCAGTCTCCCATGTGGGTGCAGGGACCCAAGTACTTGGGCCAATCTCTGCTGCCCTCCCGGGCCACAGCAGAGAGCTGGACTGGAAGAGGAGCAACTGGGACTAGTACCTGGCACCCCATACGCGACTAGAACCTGGTCTTCCATCCACTGGTTCACTTCTCAATTGGCTGCAATGGCCGGAGCTGCGCCAACCCAAAGCCAGGAGCCAGCAGCTTCTTCTGGGCCTCCCACGTGGGTGCAGGGGCCCAAGGACTTGGGCCATCCTCCACTGCTTCCCCAGGCAATAGCAGAGTGCTGGGCCAGGACTTGAACCCTCGCACACATGGGATACCAGGACTGCAGGAAGCGGCTTCACCGGCCCCAGTTGCACATTTCTTACCTAGATTGTTTTTATTGAGATCCTTGAGCTCTTTATAAACTCTGGTTGTTAATCCTTTATCAATTGCATAGTTTGCAAATATTTTCTCCCATTCTGTCAGTGCCTTTGCACTTTGCTGAGTACCTCTTTCGGCAGTGCAAATTTGATGTAATTCATTTGTCAATTTTGGCTTTGACTGCCTGTACTGTACTTCTAGGGTCTTGTCCAAGAAGTCTTTGCCTGTGGCAATGTCTTGCAGGATTTCCCCAATGATCTCTAATAACCTGATGGTATCAGGTCATAGATTTAGGTCCTTAATCCATTTGGAGTGGAAGTTTGCCACCACAGATGAGCGAGGCAGTGGTGCTCTCTTAGCCAGTACAGGATCTAGGTAGCGGCCTACCAACAGCACGTGGTTCCCACCCTGTCTCAGGTGTCGCTCCCCGTCTTCGTGGAGGAACGACACAGGACCCTGCGCTGTTCTTTCGTCTGCTCGGCCCTTCCCGGGTTTGCTGCTGGTTCTTCCCGGGTTGGCTACCGACCCTTCCACCTCCGTGGAAGGGCGGTTCCCCCTGGCCACTTTCCCCACCGCCGGCCGGCTCTCTTGGGGGCTGCACAGGTGTTCCTCAGGTGTTCCCCTTAGATGTTCCTGGTGCATGTTGTCTCTCTCCTCCTTTATAGTCCTCTTCCACCAATCCCAACTCGGCTGCCCACACGCCAAGTACGCTGCTCTCCTCCAATCAGGAGCAGGATCAGCTCCTGGAGGTCATCACTCAAGTTGGCAAGAGGCAGCTGTGTAGAAGCTGTTTCCTCCTCTCCCAGCGCCATATTGTGGGAGAGCAGATGCATAGAATAAGTCTTAATTCCAGTAACTTAGTCTAGTCCGAGTTGCTCCCCACGCTCAAGGATATAGCTCCCCAGTGCAGTGGTTCCAGCAGAGCTCCCTCCACAGCATCACAACAAAGTTGTCTGAAAGTGTGTTTTCTCTTTGCTTAGTAGAGTTGTCCAGTAAGTGGTCTGACAATAGCAAATTGCCATTTGATATAAAACCTTGCTATTTCCTTTTTTATTTGAGAGAAAAGGGGTCACAAACAGATGGAGAAACAGCTCATATATGCTAGTTAATTCCCCAAGTTCTCAAATATCCTAAATGCCTAGGGCCACTGAGAACAACAACAACAAAAATTCTTGAAGCAGCATGTGAAGACTCAACACTGCCCCACCCTCTGGCCAAGTACAGAGTAAGTGGGAGGAAACCTCCAGCTTCCACCTCCTCATGGAAGGGTGAAGAGTTGGGCTGTGAACGAAATTATCCCAGTTTCTCCAGGTTCTACCCAAGAGCCTCTGTTTCACCTGACTCAGGGCTCTGATGGGACTTGGCAAACTCCAGATGTCTGGGGAGAGGGAGTGGGAGATGGGATGGTTTACACATGCGAGGGTAGTTGGGGTGGGGGTGGGGGACTGCTATAATCCAAAAGTTGTACTTTCGAAATTTTTATTAAATAAAAGTTTAAAAAAAAGAACAAGCAAAACAATCAGACCTGCATGAAGTTGGAGAGGCTGGGTTGATTGTTGAAGGTCTTCTGTATGATGTCAATCTGTGAAGACTGGGAATGACAGATTTTCTAATGCACAGGTGCCAACAGAGTGCAGAAAAATGAAGACACAGGGAGGTATAATTCAAAAAACAAACAAGATAAAACTCCACAAATTGACCCCAATGAAGCAGACATATCAAATTATCTAATATGTAATTCAAAATAACCACCATAAAAGATGTCTAATTCAGATAAACAATGAATGAACAAAGTTAGAATTATGACAAAGAGAAAATTTTAAAAAGAATCAGAAAACTTAAAGCTGAAGACTGAAATTCCTGACAGAGCAAGCAGAAGAAGCTATCAACAACCTCAAAGACAGATCATGTGAAATTATTCAGAGGAGTAAAATAAATCTGTAAATAGTAAAGAGATTCAATCAGTAATCAAAAATCTCCAAAGAAATATCCAGTACCAGGTACCTTTCTCTGAAGGGAGCAAAGAACTTCCACTCTGACTATGACCCTGTCGGAATAAGATGGAAATCAGCGAACCCAAAAGACTTCCATTGCCTTGGCAACTCATGACTAGAGCCTAGAGAGATTACTGACACCATAAAGAAGAGTGTCAATTTGTTAAGTCAACAACAGGAGTCACTGTGTACTTACTTCCCATGTAGGATCTTTATCCTTAATGTGTTGTCCAATGTGAATTAATGCTATAACTAGTACTCAAGCAGTATTTTACACTTTGTGTTTCTGTGTGGGTGCAAACTGATGAAATCTTTATTTAATATATACTAAATCAATCTTCTGTATATAAAGAGAATTGAAAATGAATCTTGATGTGAATGGAATGGGAGAGAGAGTGGGAGATGGGAGGGGTGCAAGTGAGAGGGAAATTATGGGGGGGTAGCCATTGTAATCCATAAACTGTACTTTGGAAATTTATATTTACTAAATAAAAGTTAAAAAAAAAAGAAATATCCAGTACCATATAACATCATTCTATCAAACATTTAAAGAATTTATAGCAGGCCGGTGCCGCGGCTCACTAGGTTAATCCTCCGCCTTGCGGCGCCGGCACACCAGGTTCTAGTCCCAGTCGGGGCACCGAATTCTGTCCCGGTTGCCTCTCTTCCAGGCCAGCTCTCTGCTGTGGCCAGGGAGTGCAGTGGAGGATGGCCCAAGTGCTTGGGCCCTGCACCCCATGGGAGACCAGGATAAGTACCTGGCTCCTGCCATCGGATCAGTGCGGTGTGCCAGCCGCAGTGCACCGGCCGCGGCGGCCATTGGAGGGTGAACCAACGGCAAAAGAAAAGACCTTTCTCTCTGTCTCTCTCACTGTCCACTCTGCCTGTCAAAAAAAAAAAAAAGAATTTATAGCAAATCTTTCCAAATCTTCCAAAAATCTTGAATAGGACACTTCCAAACTCATTTTTAGTGATCAGTATTACTTTGACACCAAAGTCAGACAAAGATGCTTCAAGAAAAGAAACCATATGCATCCTCCCTGATGTACATCAACACAAAAATCCTCAACAAGATGCCAGAAAACTGAACTCAACAGCAAATGAAAGGCATAGTTCACTATGACCAGGTGAGATTTATATATGGGATGCATGAATTAGTCAGCACGTGAAGATCAGTTAAAGCAATGTACCATAATGCCAGAATAAAGGATAAAACAAATCTTAAGACCACATTATTAGATACAGAAAAAAAGAATGAAAAATTAAACAGTTTTCATCATAAAAACTTTCATAAGAAACAAGAAATAGAAGGACATGATTTCAACAGAATAAGGCCCAGCTCACACAATGAAAAGACCACACACACACACACTACCATGCTCAATGGTGGGAAACTGGACATTCCTCTAAGATCAGGTACAGATAGCCACTCTTGCCACTTCTATGCAACATAGTGCTGGAAAACTCAGCTGAAGGAATTAGACAAGAAAATAGATAAACAGCGTCCAAATCAAAGAGGAAGAAGCAAAGCTGTATTTGTAGATTACATGATCATGTACACAGAAAACCCTTAAGATCTCACACCAAAAACACCACAAAATTCAGTAAAATTATATGATAAATCAACACACAAGATCAGTG